TGCTCTCCTCTCTCCTCCTCTCCTCCTCCTCCTCCTCCTCCTCCTCCTCCTCCTCCTCCTTCCTTTTCCCAATCCTCCGCGCTGATGGCAGAGCAGGGTGGGGGAGGGATGAGGGGCGGGCGACGACTGGGCACCCCCTTGGCGTGGCTAGCCCGCGTCTCCGACACCGGCGGGTACAGCAGCAGCCCCGCCAGGGACATGGAGAAGGCGCCGATGGGCACGAACAGCAGCCACGTCCCTGCTCGAGGAGGGGGCGGGGAGCAAGGAGAAGGGAGGGAGGGAGGGAGGGAGGGAGGGAGGAGGGGGGAAGGGAGAGGGGCAGGACGGTGAGGCAGAGGGAGGAGGAGGAGGGGGAGGAGGAGGAGGAGGAGGAGGAGGAGGAGGAGGAGGAGGAGAATGACGACGACGAGGGAAGAGCGAGGAGGAGAAGGGAAGAGGGAGGATAGGCAGGCAGGAGGGAGGAAGGATGGAGGGAGGGAGCAGGCAGGTGGGAGGAGGGAGCAGGCAGGGTGCAGGGTGGATGGAGGCAGGGAGGAGAAGGAGGGACGAGGAGGCAGGGAGGCAGGTGGGAGGAGGCAGGGAGGAGAAGGAGGGACGAGGAGGAGGAGGCGAGTTGCTCTCGGGATCGGGCGGTTTCAACGCGCCGCTTCATCGCTCCAGACGTTTAAAAAAGAAGCCCTACTTCTGTGCGTGCTGGGAGCTCGTCATCGCTGATGCCGCCGCGTCCGTCGTCGCAGCCGATCGTTCGGCATGGTTTTGGAGGTTCTGGTCGATTTGTGCGGGAGCTGGAGGTTCTCGGGTGATCGGGGGGCTGGCGAAGTGCCTTGGGGGAGCTGAGGGTATTCCGGGAGACTCTAGCGTGCCTTTTTCATGCTCTGTGAGATTCTCGGATGCTCGGGTGAAAAAGCATGAGGGTGGATGAGTGTGGGAGATGTAGTTGAGGAGAGGGGGTGATGACGAGGGAAGGAAGGCGAGGACCTGCTCGAAGTAACAATTCGACAGTAACGCCTGCGAAAGGAATGCGTGAAACGGGGACCACGTGAGGAACAGGACCTGTCAAACACATCCAAGCAATCACCAGCATGCCACAGTAGTAAAGCACCATGCTCTCGCGGCGCCCGAAAGAGGCTGGCAGGGGATCCAGTCCGAATGACTTCGGGGTGGGCATCGTGCGCGCATACCACGCCTCCACAGGCCTCTGGATGCAGGTCTCCCCGACGTATGCTATCGCCAGCAGGGTGCCCGAGAAGATCGCCAGCTGGCTGCCCAGGGCACTGATATCCCATGGCTGGAAGAACAAAAAATGACACACTCGTAAACTTTTGGCGCTCCCCGCAGATTTCTTGGATCGGCGCTGGGCCCCCCAGGCCTGGTGGCACCTTCGGCGCCGCTCCTGGCGCGCGGAGCGCGCGGGGGAGGGAGGTCCAGCGCCGATCCAAAAAGTCCGCGCGCAGCGCCCAAAGTTGATGCTTACTATGCCTCTGTTTCTTCTTCGCATGGCGACGTGAGGAGCTGGGTTTAAGTCGGCCCTGTCCCCCGACAGGGGGATTTTTTTGGGCGACAAATAAAAAATATCCCAGTGCGACCCTACCTAGGAGTTGGAGCCCCTAGGAAAGCAGCATTAGTAGTAACGGTAAAGCTAAGCTAAAGCTAAGCTAAAGCTAAGCTAAAGCTAAGCTAAAGCTAAGCTAACTCGGGACATGAGTGTGGGCGGCTGTGTGGCAGGGGCCTCCGGACTTGAGCCGAAATGGTTACGGAAGACACTGCTTGCGGGGGCTCCGGTCCGGCCATCGAGGCCAGCTCGGCATCTGTCGCACATTGCTTTTCCTTTGCCTTTCCTTTGCTTTGCTTTTGCTTTTGCTTTGCTTTGCTTTGCGTTGTTTGTGCTTTGCTTTGCTGTCGCTGCTGTTGCTTTGCCTTTGCTTTGCTGCTGTGCTATGCTATGCTCTGCTATGCTATGCTGCGCGGTGCTATGCTGTGCTATGACGTGCTGCGCTATGCTATGCTATGCTATGCTGCGCTATGCTGTGCTATGCTGGGCTTTGCTATGAGATGCTGTGCTGCGCTGTGCTGTGCTACGCTCTGCTATGCTATGCTGTGCTCTGCTATGCTAAAGCTCGGCGAAGCTAAGATGAAGGTAAGCTAAGCTAAGGTAAACCTGAGCTAATATGAAGCTAAGCTAAGCTAAGCTAAGATGAGATAAGCTAAGCTAAGATGATATAAACAACGCTAAGCTAAGCTAAGATGAGCTACTCATGAGATAAGATCAGATGAGATAAGCAAGCTAAGATGTGATAACCCATGCTAATATAAGCTAATATGATATAAGCAACGCTAAGCTATGCTAATATACGCAAAGCTAATATGAGATAAGCAACGCTGAGCTAAGCTAAGCTGGGCTAAGATGACTGAGCTAAGCTAAGATGAGATAAGCTAAGCTAAGATGAGCTAAGCTAAGCTGGGGGAACCGCGGGGCGGATGCCGGGGGAACCGCCAGGGGCGTGGTCCACTGCCCGGCCCTTTAAGCTTATACAGTAAGAACCCTTCTAGGCAGAGCCTAGGTAGGGAAAAATACTCAAACAATGCTCAAAAGATGCCCATCAATACTCACAAAATAATCCCCAGACTATTCCTTTATTATTTTTGAATACAGTGAAAACGTATAGTAAGGACGCGTGGTAAAAACGCAAGACCCTTGGAGGCCGAAGTTGAAGTATTCTGGGCGGCAGGCGGCCAAACCCCCAGGGAACCTGAGAAACTGGCCTGCGAAAATTGCTAGGGACGGGCCGCAGAGGCTGAGGCAGGCAAGGACCCAAGGGCACCCTTGAAAAAGTCGTTTGTCCTTACTATGCGCGTGGACTGCATTCCCCCTGTAGAGGGACACGCCCGACTTAACGCTGGGCCAGTGGAGCGGCCATCAGCGCGTGCATCCAGAGCCACGGGGACACCCGGCCCAGACACGCACAGAGCCGCCCGAACAGCGCTCCGAGGACGTCGGCCCCGGCGGCCACGGACCAGAGCAGGAGCGCCTGCCGGCAGCAAGCAAATCGGGCCAAGCGAAAGGGGGGGATAATTAGCAAAGGGGGGGGTGAGAATCAGCTCACGCAGCTGATTTTCCTGGCGCCTCCCGGCGCCGGGAGGCGCCTACGTATATCGAGGAGTGGGCCCGGCGGCGGGGCCGAAAGCAGCTGCATGCAGCGGATTTCGTAACCCCCCCTTTCCCAATCCCCCCCCTGACCGCCCTACTTTGGGGAAATTCGTAAGTGGGGCTTGGAATTTCCGCCTTACTTTTCAAGCCCCGCTGATGCCAATTTCCGCCCTACTTTTCTGTTGCTGTTTCTGTGGATTTCCGCCCTATTTTATGTTGGGTGCAGCAATTTCCGCCCTACTTTTTCGGCCTCTTCTAGGTGGATTTCCGACGCAATGTTAAGTTGGAAAAAAAGCCAAAGTAGGGCGGATCCGGAGTCAGGGCCCCCTTTCGTCCGGCCCGAGCAAAGGGAGGGACACGAGGAGGAGGCCTCCTCAGAGGGCGGGAGGGCTTCTCGGAGGACCGCCGGCCTCCCGGGAGCTTGATGCGTCTTCGGGGGAGGCTTCGGAAGCCTGCCGGCAGGAGGCCGGAGGGCCTCTGGGCCTTCCGAGAAGGCCGTCTCCTTCCCAGTTCCCTCCCAGGCTCGCCGCCGAGCCTGAATCGGCAAGAGCGCCCCGTGCAAGACCCACTGGTGCAGAATCTTCCAGGCGGACAAGCCGCGGAGATCAGCCGCCAGGAACAGCATCGACAGGCAGATGATGCTGAAAGAAGCGCCACAGCGCTCCACAAACCAGAGCAGGCTCTCTCTTCCACGGCTCTCTCGTCCTGATTCTTGCGCGAATTGATAATTGCCATCTTCATACGACCTCTTGAACAAAATCCCGAGGGATACACCTGCCACGAAAGTTGCACCATGTGCGCAGGCAGAAAACCAAGTGACTGCGTCGTGGACGGCAACATCAATCATCGAGTTCGCCTCGTGCAGCGTTGCGGCGAAGGCGACAACACATATCTGTGCCACTGCGCTTGAAGAACATTTGTTTAGCCGGGATGTTAGTGGTAAGCCCAGCGCTGCCAACAGCAACAGTGGCCCCGCCATCCATGAGCTCCCTGCAATAGTGGTCTGCTCGTGATAACCTGGCATCCAAGCGTGTAGGCAGAATGGAAGCATGTAAATGAATTTGCCAGGAAGCGTGACGTTCGCACGCAGGCATCTGCACACTGCATCAAGCAGCGAGTAGGTCAAGATAACTGGATAGCCTCGCGCCCACCGGCGTGACACCAATGGCCAAACATCGAGCTTGTCCGCGACGCCAGAGTATCGGACAGCACAGATGAAACCGCAGTGGAAGAACACGTAGGGGATCGCGACGGCGCCCCACCTCACCCTCCATTTCCCTCGTTTGCACACAGATCCACTCCCGTATCCCTGCTGATTCTGCTGCTGCTGCTGCTGGTCCTCCTCCTCCTCCTCCTCCTCCTCCTCCTCCTCCTCCTCCTCCTCCCCTTCCTTATCCTCCTCTTTCTCTTCCTCCTCTTCCTCCTCTTCCTCTTTCTCTTCCTCCTCCTCCTCCTCCTCCTCCGTTTCCCCCTCCAGCGCCTCCTCCCCCCGCCCCCCCACACAGCGATGCGCCCCATCCAGCTCGGCATCTCGCTGAACCACTTGGCCTTGTGCGCAACGTACAGCACGATGTGGAGCGCGGCAAGGAGGCGCAGTCCATCCAGTGCCTGCGCCCGGCCTCAGAGGGGGAACGAAAAAGGGAACGGAGAGCAGGGACGAGGGACGTTGACAACGGAAGGTACGGTATGGGAACCGTACTGCCTGAATGCAGGGAGGTTGCTACGCGAATAACGCGCGGGCACGTAGTGTGGCCGGGAGCGGAGAGGCGCAGGGCGGCGCAGCGGGCCCGGGGCGAGGGGGCGAGGCCGGGCCGGGGCGCCCCGGGGGCGGAGGCGGGGGCGGGGCCAGGAAGGGCAAGACGGCCGGGGGCCGAGGCCGAGGCCGGGCAAAGGAGGGCAGAGCGGGGCCAGGCCAGGCGGGCCAAGGGTAAGCCGAATTCAAAAGTGACCGCACCAGCGTTAGGTCGCTTTTGAAGTCGGCCCCGAAGGCGGGACGGGGCCCAGGGACGGGGGCCCAGGCCAAGGGCCGCAAGGCGGCCCAGGGGGGGCCGCGGCCCGCCCGGGTCAGGCGTACCCTGAGCGGCGCTTAGGGTGCCCCTGCCAGGCGGCCCGCCAGCGGGGGCGAGGCGGCCCCACGGAAGCCACGGCGAAGCCCCAAGAGACTCGGGCCAGGGGCAACGGGACCGGGCAGGGGGCGGGGGGTCTGGGGACTCTGCACCTGTCCGCTCCGGCTGGACCTAATTACTGCTGCGCCTCCTGCTGGAGCGGCCGCCCGAGCAGCTGCTGCGTCTGCGGGTGGTCTGGCTCGGGCTCGTGGCCCAAGGTAGTTTGGGCCAAGAGCGCTCGGCGGAGGAGGGTGGGGAGGGCGGCGCGGTCCCCCCGGGTCGCCGTCCTGGTCCACTCTGGCTGGCTGCGGACATTAATTGGGGTGCGGTGCGACGAAGATGCCTAAGCCAGCTGCAGCACGCGCCAGCGGGCCGGCCAGGGCCAACCCTGGCGGCGGGGAGTGGGCACGCGACCCGGCCCTCCCGCCCGTCCCACTGCCCGGGCCGCACCTGCTCTTCGGTGCCTATTTCGAGCCTCGGGGTGCGGAGCGAGAGGGTACTTGGGCCGGCCGCAGGCCCATGCTTGCTTCGGTCAGCCTGGTCAATGCCCGAGACTGCCGGTGCAAGGGGCGGGGCTCGGTCCGGTCCCCCCGCCCGCCCCTCGGTCCTACTACGCGGGGCGGCGACGACGGCGGGGGGGCGGCGACGAGGGGGCAAAGGGAGGTGCCGGTCCGAGGGAGAGGGAGAGGGGGCGGGAAGGGGGAGGGAGAAGGGACGGAAAAGGGGGGGAGAGAGGGGGGGGCGCGGGGGGCCCGAGGACTGGCGAGGGGGGGGCCCGCCCATCCCGGCCGCGCGCCTCGGGCCGGCGCGGGTCTCAAGGGCCTTTGGGGACGGTCCCAGGCACCACACGCCCCCTGCCGCGCCGTCCCACGGACGGGGGTCTCAGGGAGGCGTGCTGCCACCCCGCCCGGCCGCGCGCCGAGGATGGGCGCGGGTCTCAGCAGGGGCCCTCGGGGGGTTGCGACACGACAACGACACGGCAACGGCGACGGCGACGGCGACGGCGACGGCGGCGGCGACAGCGACGGCAACG